AGCTAAGCATTTAGGCTTTGACGTTTAGCGATTTGTTTACAAAAGTCATCATCACTTTCAATACGATAAATATGATTGTAAACCCTAATGAGTAGCATAATTTTAGATGAACGTTTATATGGATCCATCCTAAAAAGGCAACAAGTCCACAATATAGCAAAACTTTGTGCTTATAGCAGTGTGTCTTGCAAGTGTCTAGTGGTGCAGAGTGTTTTTCGGTTCAGACGACGTACCGCAGTGTATCTATAGATAATTTAGTTCATCTTTCAAGACGTTTGAGAGCGGTTTAAAAGGTAGCCTTATTAATCGTCAGCAAATTTGAATGAGGTAAACAATTTTCATTCCTGTCTTTTACCCCCAACTATGTAGTGGAATCGGGTGTGACGGTTAGCAATTTGTAGAAGTCATCATCAGCTTAAATACGACAAATATGATTGTAAGACCTAATTAGTGCCAAAGATCAATTCCTGAAGAGACCAGAAATCCACAACATTTGAGCAAGACTTTGTGCTTATAGCATAATATAATAACAAATAACAACAGTCTAGTGATACCCGGTGCCTAGTGTTTAAAGTTTTTCGGTTCAGACGAAGTGCCTCAGTGTATATCTATCGTGATAATGTATTTCATCCTTGAAGAAGTTTGAGAGGTACCCTTATTAATCGTCAGCAGATTTAAAAAGGTAAACATAATTTTCATTCCTGTCAAATCATAAAACATTTACACTGAAGAAAGAACGTGCTATCCTTAAGCGAACACGGTTCACATATGTCAAGTGTCAAGCGCCATTTTTTGTAAGTGCGGTAGCTAGACATGCGACGTTGCCGGATCCTCACATAAATCGGAGTTTGTCATACAATTTTATAATAATAATAATAATAATAATAATGTTTATTGTCACAAAATACAAGTAAATATCAAATATTGTGCACAATAAACATAAAGCACCCAAAAAAAGTTTGCACTTGTGTTTGGGTTTGTACAAAATAAAAACTAATAGTACAGTCAGTGTATGAAAAAAAAAAAAGAAAAAAAGAAAAAACCCGTTAATACTGTATAATTTGGTGAATTATTATGGTAATGTCAGGAAAAATATCCAGACAATTAGAACTGAAGTAAAAGTATGGATGTTAGTGTAAGTAAAATATTATTGATTTTGATAATGATTTTTCAGATCTACAATTTTGTGGATGGAGTACCTTGGTTGTTGTAAAATCCATTTTTTTAGTTGTTTTTTAAATGATTTATTTGATTTAATTACTTTTAATGACTCTGGTATGAAGTTATAGAATTTTGGTCCCAAGAAAAACAGAGATCGTTGTGTAATGGTTTTTGATGTCTGTGGAATACACATTGAATTTTGATTGAATCTTGTTGGGTAGTTATGGATGGTACGATTAAAGTATTTTGAATATTTGAAATAATGTATTAGACCACAATAAAAATAAATTTGCCTGCAATCTAATAGCTGAGCCTCCACATATAGAAAATCACTTGAATAAGTAATCTCCCTATGGAGGATCAATTTTAGAATTAATTTTGGATGACTTCAACCTTTTTGTAATTATTCTTCATAACTCCCCCCCAAGCCAAAATTCCGTAAAGTAATAGAGGATAAACAAGAGCATAATATAGATTATATAGATATTTCTTATCTAGAATATCTCTGAAGTACCTGAATTTTGGAATAATACATCTCAGTCTCTTCACAAGGTACTCTGTATGGGTATCCCATTTTAAGTGTTTGTCCAAAATCACGCCTAAGTATTTTATTTTATCGGCTGACTCAATCTCTTTGAGACCACTGCTTGTATGAATTTCAAGTTTTTTAAATTGCGGTGAGAGCCTGTCGTTACAAGAAAATGCTATATAGTGTGTTTTGTTGTAATTAATTGTCAAAGTTCTTTCCGAAAAGAAATTTATAAATGTTTTGAAATCATGTTCGATTGTGGTTTTTAGTGTATGCCACTGGTTGCTTTCATAGAGAATAGCTGTATCATCCGCAAAACCGATAACTTTACCTGTACTATTTATTTTGAACAAATCGTTGATAAATAGATTAAATAAAATGGGTCCTAATACTGAGCCTTGAGGTACACCGTGTGATATAATATGGGGTTCACTGAATGTGTTATTAATTTTGACGCACTGTGTTCGATTTGACAAATAATTTTCTATAAGTTTGTATGTTATTCCCCGGAAACCTAAGTTTTCTAAAGTTTTTAAAAGCGATTCATGAATAATAGAGTCGAATGCCTTTGCCAATGCTATATCGAACATTTTATAATGCCATTGTGTGTTATTTATGGTGACACATGCGACGTTGCCGGCTCCTCACATAAATCTGAGTTTGTCATACAATTTTATAGAGGGCATTAATGCTATATCGAAGATTTTATAAGGCCATTGTGTGCTATTGATGGTGACACATGCGACGTTGCCGGCTCCTCACATAAATCTGAGTTTGTCATAAAATTTTATAGAGGGCATTAATGCTATATCGAAGATTTTATAATGCCATTGTGTGTTATTTATGGTGATACATGCGACGTTGCCGGCTCCTCACATAAATCTGAGTTTGTCATACAATTTTATAGAGGGCATTAATGCTATATCGAAGATTTTATAATGCCATTGTGTGCTATTAATGGTGACACATGCGACATTAAAAAATGAAAAATGAATGAATAATGAAAAATGCAAAATGAAAAATGAAAAATGAAATATAAAAAATGAAATATGAAGAATGAAAAATAAAAAACGAAAAATGAAAAATGAAAAACGAAAAATGAAAAACGAAAAACCAAAAACGAAAAACGAAAAACGGACAACGGAAAACGGACAACGGACAACGGAAAACGGAAACGGAAAACGAAAAATGAAAACTTATAAAAGATGACAGGTACCAGATACCAGATACCAGATACCAGAAACCAGATACCAGATACCAGACACCAGTTACCAGACACCAGACACCGGATACCAGATACCAGACACCAGATACCAGATACCAGATCCACATACCAGATACTAGATACCAGATACTAGACACCGGATACCAGATACCAGAAACCAGATACCAGATACCAGACACCAGACACCAGATACCAGATACCAGATAGCAGATACCAGAAACGAGATACCAGATACCAGACACCAGATACCAGATAAAAAGATAACAGATACCAAATACCAAATACCAGATACCAGATACCACACACCAGATACCAGACACCACATACGAGATACCAGATACCAGACACCAGATACCAGATACCAGATACCAGACACCAGATACCAGACACCAGATACCAGACACCAGATACCAGATACCAGACACCAGACACCAGATATCAGATATCAGATACCAGATACTAGACACCAGATACCAGATACCAGATCCACATACCAGATACCAGATACCAGACACCAGACACCAGATACTAGATACCAGACACCAGACACCAGGCACCAGATACCAGACACCAGACACCAGATACCAGACACCAGATAGCAGATACCAGAAACGAGATACCAGATACCAAATAAAGAGATAACAGATACCAAATACCAAATACCAGATACCAGACACCAGATACCAGACACCACATACGAGATACCAGATACCAGACACCAGATACCAGATACCAGACACCAGATACCAGACACCAGATACCAGATACCAGATACCAGAAACCAGACACCGGATACCATACACCAGATATCAGATACCAAATACCAAGTACCAGATACCAGATACCAGATACCTGATACCTGATACCAGACACCAGATACCAGACACCAGACACTAGATACGAGACACCAGATACCAGTCACCAGATACTAGACACCAGATACCAGATACCAGATACCTGATACCAGACACCAGATACCAGATACCAAACACCAGACATCAGACACCAGATACCAGACACCAGACAACAGACACCAGACACCAGACACCAGATCCCAGACACCAGATCCCAGACACCAGACACCAGATACCAGATACCACACACCAGATACCAGATACCAGACACCAGATATCAGATACCAGACACCAGATACCAGATAAAGAGATAACAGATACCAAATACCAGATTCCAGATACCAGATACCACACACCAGACACCAGATACCAGACACCAGACACCAGATACCAGATACCAGACATCAGATACCAGATACCAGACATCGGATACCAGATACCAGACACCAGATACCAAATACCAGATACCAGATACCAGATACCTGATACCAGATACCTGATACCAGATACCAGATAAAGAGATAACAGATACCAAATACCAGATACCAGACACCAGATACCAGATACCAGACATCAGATACCAGACACCGGATACCAGATACCAGATACCAGACACCAGATACCAAATACCAGATACCAGATACCTGATACCAGATACCAGATCAAAGATGCCAAAGGATAAAAAATGATTTGAGATAGGGATAAAGTTATCGCTAGCATTGCATTAGCATACGAGCAACTGCGCTACGTGAGGTTTTAAATAAAGACATCAACGTGCAATATTTTGCATAGCGTTAGCGTGCCAGCAACTGCGCTAGTGGTATATTGAACAATGAGAAATATGTGAAAGCATCGTCTACCATCAGAGAGACTGGAACCAACTTATCTCCTCCTTTCTGATGGCTTATCGGACTGTTATTCAGGAATCTACCGGACAGATACTGGCAAAAGTTCTCTTTGTCAAAATTTCTCCTTGGCCAGAATTGAGGTTACCCTACGCTGATGACAAAGCATGAAGAAAATACACGAACTGCTTTGCTGATATTTCAAAGTTGGCAGTGATTGCTTGACGAAATCCTATAGTATCGAGCCTAAAGAAGGCGGATGTCGAAATGAAGCCCGGTGTGGTTTTAGAACCCTCATAGGAAGGAAGATACAAGGTGCTTGGTAGGGACCCTGCATCGTGAAAAAAAGAAGCAATGTCATCTACTGCACCAGCAGCAAGGTTCACATGAAAACCTCAGGGTCGCGCATAAAGAGCAACGTCTCTAGAAAGTGCAAGCTCGGCGAGCATCAAGTCAGTCATTTGATGGCTTCCGAAATTATGTTTTGCTATCAGGAAGATTCCAAGGCGCTAAGAGACTCCTGGAGACGCTTGAGCAAATTGAAAGGCTAAAGATACGACACGGACCAGGCTGGACCTTCTATTTAGTGGCCGAAGCTCCACTAAAGCAGAATACTAGTTAGCACAAGTTGTGGGTCGCCAAACATGATCTGGAACATCTTGCCTGGTTCTACGATATCAAGAAGCTGGATATGCCTTCCATAGACTGTGTAACGGAACAGTTGTATGAAACATACTCGAGATGCTTCTTCAGAATTCCAACATGCATAATTCAGACTGCATCTTGAACACTTGGAGCCGTATAAGTAGACAAGTCGGTAGCCTGTTGCCCTTGTCAGAATCACCGCTATAACGAGTAGTCTCCTCTAGATTTACACCTACGCCCATGATCCAAAAGTTTCATCCCAACGTTTGAAAATCTATTGGGGGTATAGACAAGCTCTACCTTCAACCGATATTTATAATTAAACGTAGCTGGCTGGAAGGTTTAGACGGCGAGGCCCTCAGGCTATTAATCCTTCTAGTTCAGGAAAATTAGCTTTGATATAATAAAATGAGACCCGTCATAATTTATATCTCCATAAATTACTCCTCAACTCCTATCCTAACTCGTTCTCTAATTAGGGTTGCTTTTGCTTTGCTTTAGAGGTTTGTTGCCAGGGGGTTGAAAGGTGACAACTGAAATTATGGATGCATCTGTTTCACATATTTTATATTTTATTTCTCAGGATACCAGTCAGTTTCCTGAAATGCAGGGTAGGGTTTTTCGCATTATTAATTTTTTAGATAAATAAGATTTTCAGGACAAATCTCGTCATTGCGTGCAGCTGCTAGGCAGAATTTGGGATATATATTTTCAAGTCAAAATAGCACATTACATTTTTAGTTTGAGAAAAGAATCTCCAAAGTAAAAAAAGTACGCCTACTTTCCATTAGTTGCTCTAATCCTTGATTTACAAGAAATGACATATCAATAGACGTTGACAGCCAGTACCACTGGTACCACTGCAAACGGGTGCACAATTATGTTTAAACTGACTATTGCAAGACATCCAACAACTTACTTGACTTTCAGGTTCTTTTCACCTCCACTAAATCGTTCATCAAGTTTGGCCTTGACCTGTCGATAACGTTTAATTTAATTTCCTACTTCTGATAGTCTTGGACTTCACAATGCTGTGAACCATGTTTGATAGGGAGGCGCTAACCCAGTCAGCTATTCAGCCCCCTCGCGATTTATGAAGTAACATACCATTTTGGATCTGTGTTCTGTTCTATGAAATAAGAACCTTCCTACTTCTGATATTCTTGAACTTCACAATGCTGTGAACCATGTTTTTGAATCCAAATAGGGAGGCTCTAACCGAGTCAGCTATTCAACCCCCTCGCGATTACGAAATAACATACCATTTTGGATCTATTCAGAAAAATAACATTTTTTATGTGCAGTGCTCTTCCTTGATTGTAAACGCAAGGCTTCATTGTCTTCGGGTGCAGTGCATCCATTGTTCTTCGTCACCCTTCATTGTTTATGTCATCAAGGGAGTTTATCTACCGAGGCTTTATTCAATTGAATTGAGAACGGAACGAAACGGAGGAAAGCCAAGGCAGGCGTCTCAGAAAAAGGAAACATCACGAAAATACTACACAGGCGACCACTAATAAAATTAAGATTTTCTGCCTTTGCCACTGGGAAAAGGGACTGCCACAATGAATGCATGGTGCTGGGGCTCAGTGTATTGTAACCGTCCTTCGTATTGTTGCGGGGATTCAGATCGTGATCTTTTTGGAAAGACTGTTACACTGATCTGTACTTCTGCTTTTATTGTTTGCAAGAAACTGTTATCCTACTATCAGAACTGATAAAGTCAAGTACTCTGTTACACAGCCTCCCAATGTTTGGGATTTCAGTTTCTAAGATATTTTATATTTACTATCTGTCAAAAGAGACATCTAGTTAAAAAAAGTTGTCGAATATCGTCTTTAATATACATTTAAATATATGTTTCCAAGGAAAGAACATTCATACAAAAATATTCTCGCGTGCCCATGATTGGTTGTTCGGTTATAAGAGATTTAATATGTAAAAACGCTCATCTTTGACATCTTATTACACACAACGTCCCAATAAGTAGAAATTCTCCAAGATGGCGCCCAGTCGCAGTCTTAAAGACAAACATGATGTCCCTCTATTTACTAATCCATTAGACCTTACCTTACAAGCGAGCTGCACAAAACTATATCTCTTTGTCACAACTTTCCATGACGCATTGCACTTCCATTCATTTTTCTCCTTTAGCGGACGAGTTATCTATAGATGGGAACAGAAACGCTATTCTAGCAGCAAAAGAGAGAAAGGTGCATTTAGCCTGGCGAGCTTCGGGCTTGAACATTTGCATTTGGAACGGCCATTATGTTTTATTCTGGCAAGATCCGCTGTGATGAATGTCTGCAATTCAACTGTTCTGCTCCTGCCGGCGAATCGCGGTGCAGGTTCGAGACCAAAAATTAAAATAGCGCCGGAGAAAAAGTGAAAATATGATTAAGAGATCTTGCTTATACTCGTGCGAAATTGTACGATTTATTCTAAGATTACCATCATCAGGATGTATTAATATGAAGAACAAGGAGGTATCACGAATGCAAAATTATAGCTAAGCGTTGTTTTGATTTCGACTTAATACGAGTAATTCGGAAAGCTAGAGCTAGATGGCGCTTCTTAGGTTGACGGTCATGTCACCGATTAACGTATTATCTGATTCTCTATGAAGTCAGGCAGGTCTGTCTGGCAGGCACATCGCGAGGCGGCACCGTGGGTCAGAGCCTCTGAGGAGCAGCAGTAGTAGATAGCTAGATCACCGACGGCTTGGTATAAAAGGGTCCCGAGACTGTCCATTAGAGAAAGATCATCGATCAGTCGGACAGCCCTCCTATGACCAGCATCGATCATGGATAATGTTATCGAGGCGGCAACAACCAAAACATGTGAGCAGTATTCGGGGCTAGGTCTTATCTGAGCCTTATACAGAGGTATGGAGAAAAGTTTTATAGCCATAAACGAATAGCCTAGCTTTGTACCTAAAAATAAGCATACACTGTATTCTAAAAAGAGATTTGAAAGATACTAGCGCCATCTAAGGTACAGTAGCAAAACACAAAAACTGATTTAGAAATCTACTTTGAAACGAGTTATAGAGTTCTGCTACTGTCTCTTGGATGATTCTTACGATCTTCAATCCCTTTTTGACTTATCTAATGCTTATTTTAATTGGGTATCTCCAGATGGAATACGGCAATCAATGCCTGAATATACCCACTTAAAGTAGGCACCAAAGAGGCACCAAGAAGAAATTGGAGATCCTCGCGCCATTTGTTAGGCAATAGCAGAGCCAAACACTAACTCTCTTTAAAACGGATTTATAAATTCATTTCTGCACTCTGCTATTGTCTCATATATGGTACTAAGATCTCTCAGGTTCTCTTCCCCCTATAGTATATGGTTGGCTATTTTCTCATTGATTAATGGTTAATGACCCAGGTAACGGAAATGGTCCGGCTTACCGGACCGCAACGAAAAACTTGTTTATTCAACGTCAAACATCTAGATGTACCAATGTGAAAGAAACACATTTTTTTCTAGATACTAGAGCATTTTTTGAATATGCTTTCATTCTATATCTCCCAAATGCCCAGAAAAACATAGAACTACGGCATCGACATAGACCGGTACAAAGCGAAATCCTGTTCAAATTTTTCGAATGAAAAATAAAATAATTTTTGCGCCATTTATCAATCATAGAAACAACGTGTATGTATCGGGACGTTGCTGGACTTTTATTTCTGGAAATTTGTGGTGAAATATGTCAGTAACATGCATGGGTAGATATACCTGGATATGAAAATGTGGATGTGCTAGTCAAGCCTGACGCGATAAGTCGATTTTAGTGTTTTGTCGATTAAAATCGGACAACCTGTCACTGTATTTAGAACGAATAATAAAATATAACGTATATCCATCAAATACTTGTTTCAATCCTATTAAAGCTTATGAGCTTTAATAGAATTGAGAGGGGAACTGGCCAATACAACAGTTTTTTTGTTCCTGAAATCTTGAATATCTACAAGAATTTGAGTAAATGGCGCTATTAAGATAAAGGAAGGAACCAATTCTTAACAAACCTGATTTATGAAGTTCTTCCATATTTAAAAGCGGTTTTGGCATAGAATGTCTTAGGTCTTAGGTTAAAAGGCCCTAATAAAACTAGTCTTGGAGTGCAACTCACATTTCTGATGAGTTGCTACCTCAACTGCATTCTCTATACTGATACTTGATATACTTCGGAACAACTAACTGATAACATTTCTTCATATCGGTATTTCAGCGGAATTTATACTCCTTTGTACACATTTACAGTTCCACTTTATTCTAGACCTCCTAAGCGGACTTGTCGTTTTAACTCTACCGTGGTCTATGAATCGAAAAGTGACTGGTAAGTTTCCAGGATGTCCAGAACGTGGAACAATTTGACAGTAAAAGCTTCCTGCAGTTCTACTTGACTTGAACATTCAAAAGTCAGAGTCTATCAGTACACCCCACTAACAATAACTACTTTGTTTGAATTATATTCCTTAACTTGTTTTAGAGATATCATCACTATACCACTGATTAACTTACTTGTTAATATGTCATTTGTCGTTGATATTGTCATTTACGAAAATATAAAGTATAGAGGTTTACTTTCAAATATTTGGTAGTAATAATTTTAGCACTGTACAAAAAATAGATCATCATCAAAACACAAAATCCTCCAGCCATGGATGCATATCACGGGAAAGGCTTGATTTAGGGCACTTTCCTTAACTCATTGACGAATATGTTCGTCAATGCTTCCCTCAGATAGCTTTGAGGTATATACGTGGAGTGATTGACCTGACAACGAGCGTGTTCTATTCACAAGAACAAACAGACTGATACTGCGTGTATATGCCTCCTTGCTTGCGAAGCCTCGTATTGGATCGTTTGTGTCTGGTGTGTATTCGGGATTTATAATATGAGTAATTAAGGGTATATTATGCCGATCGTATATACTACCGTTTGTGTTATCAGGATTCTCTAGTCATAGTCCTGGAAACAAGGTTTTGGAAATGCAATGACAAAACCTAAGGTTAGTAAAAGAAAATGCCTTTTCTCTTGTAAATACAATTTTGTATATATTAATGTATTTGATTTGATTGCGTGTATTAGGATTCATGTCAATACCAGCATTTATTTACGGGAAATGTAAAATAGGGAATGACTCCCATGACTTTTCTTTGTATCTTCTGTTAATAATTCATGACCAACTGAGGAAATACATCGATGAATTTGGGACTAAAAACTCCACTTAAATGTACAAAATTCAATTAATAGTGTCCATATGAAGTCGATGATGGAAGTGGAAAAAAGAAATCTCGAGTTGAAAATTTGATCACGCTATCTTGTAGAAGTGAAAAAATTGCAATCAAGCATTTATTTTGGGATGTCATCCGAAATAATGCCAGGAAAAACCTAAATAAATTTGATAATTTCAAGGCCCACCTAGGAAATTCTGTTTTTTGAAATAACTAAGGTTTGGTAATGTCAGTGTATGACTTATTACACATTGTTAGAATTAGAATTAAAACTATATTCATGTATGCAAAAATACATTGAGAAAAAATAAAGTTGATGCTGGAGGATAAGAGATGAAACGTCATATTGAAATTCTGATCATTCA